TGAAATGAGATGGGGCGGGAGCTATGCCGACAATATCTGTACAGTATCACTTCCCTCCTATCTCGGCCTGTCCTCCTCCCTCCCTCCATTCCTGCCTCTGCGTTTCTCCCTCGAATCCGCTCCTTTCTTCCTGCTTCCCTCCCTCCTCCCTCACTACTCCCACCCGCCCTCCCTCCTTTCTCCCTCGGTTTTCTCCGCACCTTCCCCCCCCCCCTTCCCTCCCTGCCTCCTTCCCCCGTTCTTTGTGCCCGACCTAGAGTTTGGATTTCGTTCCCCGTTCTATTCCCGATTGATGTAAGCACCGCATTTCGTCTGGCGATCTGAAAAACGGCGACCGCGCACAAGCTCACGCGTGCTCGCGCGTGCTCGCGCGAGAGATAGAGACACCGGAGGCAGCATCACTTCCCTTCTCCCTTGGCCTATCCTCCTCCCTCCCTCCCGTCCTGCCTTGGCGCTTCTCCATCGGCCCCACTCCCTCCCTCCTTTCTCCCTCGGTTTTCTCCCCCACCTTCCCTTCCTCCCTCCCTCCCTCCCTCACTCCCTTCCTCCCTCCCTCCCCCATTCTTTGTGCCGGAGTGGATTTCGTTGTTCGTACTATCCCAATCTACGTGATCCACCTCCCTTCCTGTCTCCCTCCCCCCCCTCCCCCCCCCCCCCCCCCCCCCCCCCCCCCCCCCCCCCTCCCTCCCTCCCCCCAGTATCTAGTGTCTCTTACCGTTCTTGCACTTCGAAACTGCTCTGTGCAGGATGAACACAATGGTGATAGAGAGAAAGCGAGATCCATTCTGCCTATGTACCCTTAAAAGATTCCCTCCCTCTCCTGCCCGCCCCCCCCCCCTCTCTCTCTCGCTCTCCCCCTCTCCCCCTCTCCCCCTCTCCCCCTCTCCCTGTTCCTCTCTTTCTTGCGCGCGTGCACGCTCATTGAGATCTTGAAAAGAAATGCAGGGAATTTTTTTTTGCTGCGTTCATGTCTACGGGATAAAGGAAAAAAGCGAGATCCATTTCCTATGTACCCGGAAAAGATTGCCAGAAAATCTTTTGGGGCCGCCCGGTGGTGTTGGGGAGCGATTTCGATGAGGGAGCTACCTTCTTCACCCGAATACAACGTGCGGTCATTATTGCTGTATTTAGACGGAAAGATACCCCAAATTCATACAGCTATAATGACCGTACGTTGTATTCGGGTGAAGAAAGTAGCTGACACACTGACACGTGTTTGGGCGTCACGACAGTAGGGAGGCCGGTCGGAGGTAGCCAGGAGTTGGGGTGGGG